TGGGCTGAGCAGGTGTAGGAAACCCGTCCCAGGTGCGGGAGGATCCCTCCAGGGGGGCCAACACGGTTCTCCGTTCCTCTGAGAAATTACATTTCTTGGTTAGAACGTGGGTCAAAGCTGGTGGCAGGCCAGACGTCCTGATATACTAATCTGTGAATTTACTTGGCCATCTATAATGACATTCAGCGATTTATTGGCTGAGACTTCCAGGTAGAAATAGATCTATGTCTAAAGTTGGAAGAAAAATAAGTTCGTTCTAGCAAATTAGGAAATGATGTCAGGCAGGATTTTAGGAACATCAGTATCCTCCAGAAAACCAGCTCGTAACTACTCAGCTGCTGTTGTATACCTTTTTTTTACACCATGCATTGTTGACCGTATACTGGCACAATCACCAAAGGGGGAAAAAACCATAATACTTTGGTTCAATTTTCAGCTCCTGTACGACATAGCAGCAGCCACGGGAAGAGAATGTTTATTATCAAGGCAACAAGTTTTTATGATACTCGATTTCTGAACTTGTTGGTGAGTTAAAAACAAATTTATTACATTCAGTATAATATTCAGTATATATATTCCTCCCTTGCAAATGGCGTCAGAGTGTCTAAAATCCAATTTTATCAGTTGTTTACATGACAGCGTCTAAAATGTGGTTGGCACTATTCACATAAACAAGAATTTCCAGTCCTCCTCCTCCTAAAGAAGTTTTTGTCATATGTTGTAAAATCAGGGCCAGATGAAGTAAAAAGATTGGCTAAATGGCAAAGATTGTGATAGGTACTTCACTTAATGCTGTAGCAGCATGCTTAAATTATGTGTCTCTGTTCATATATGAGTAGCCTACAAACGCTTTCCACTCCATCCTCCGTTTTAAAATGTATTAGGTTACTCTTCTGCAGGGTTTGTCTTCAGTTACCTAAATTAGATTAGACTTAGGAAGCCTGACCTGAGTTCGACCCCTAAAAAGCTAGGTTTCGGCTAAAGCCTATTATGACGGGTAACAGCCAACCTGATACAAGTCCCTTTGTGTGATCAGGGTTCCTTTATCTGTCTTCCACAGTTACCAAAGCCAGCAGTGGTTGTATTTGTGTTGGATTATATTGCATTGGTGTTAGTGCCTCGTTACAAGTGAATGCTGAAGCCAGTCATCACAAGATGCTGAGACAGCATTTGGGGAAAGCATTACTGTCTGCTGCTGCAGAGTCTGACCTCTCTGGGAAATTCAAAGCTGAACTAAATAGGCTCATGGACTGACACAGCATCACTGTTTCTGTATTCTAGTTTGTTAATGAACTCATTTTAAGCAGCAATCTGTCGACGACCCTATCTAACGTATGAATGCAAATCTAAGAATTATTGGCTGTTACCTCACTTTCAGACTAACCTCACCTAAATTTTGTCAGATTTCTGAATTTCCCATACTGTTTCTTTTTCTTTTTATCCCCTATACAGAGATTCTATATATTTCTGACGGGAATACCTGCGGCACTATTCATAACATATGTCAACATCTTCATTGGTGAGTGCTCTGTCATGATTAAGCCAAGTACACAGTCAAAATTACTAAATGGAAACTAAGCGTACTGGATAGAAAAAAGAGATCTTTTGAGACTCGCTCTTCGGAAGACCATGAAATCGGCCTAACAGTTCTGGTAATATTGTATAAGTACATAGAAGATGTTCCTGGTATTTTTATTTTTCCTTAGTTGTTGCTTTTTTAAAAAAGCTTTCTACATTTTTAAAAACTGATAAAGTCCATCTTTTGACAGTCTTTCAAACATCATGAGGTTTAGTGAGCAGTTCTCCTGTATTCAAATGAGGAATCTGTATTACCTTGGTTTACATACTTCTTTAAGAAGGCTGCATACACTACAACTGTCCCTTTATATCTAGCAAAAAAGCCAAAATTCTGCTTGGCAATAGGTGTTTTAAGTCTACTACTGTAATAATATGGAATTAACGTAATAAAGAAATTAGGAAAAATCCATGCTTTCAGCTCATACACTTTAAAGGGCATTTCTGTGGACTTGATCTTAGTTATTTCTTCTGTATAGCTGCTAATGTCACCCTTTTGTTGTGTGGCTTAAAGTCTGTGAGCTAGATACAGGCAGTGGGAAGTGTCTGGAAAAATTACAAGTCCAATTTTTCTGAATAGAGCTCAGATCGAGGGATTAAATACTCTCCATGTGAAATAATGATCTTTTCCTAATGTGAAAGGCAGATATAAGGTACGACAAAAAAAGTACTTGAATTAAATGTTCCTTTCCTTCTTTCCTTGTTAGGTGAAGCTGAACTTGCAGAGATTCCCGAAGGTTATGTTCCAGAGTACTGGGAATACTACAAAGTGAGTGTAACGTGTAAAAGGGTGGCATGGTATGGATGGCCTTCCTCTTGATGATACTTTTGGGAGTAAAATGTGTGGAGTATGATAATGAGGATGGCCATATCCCTGCCATTGGGTGTCAGTGTAGTGGAACTCAAATTGTGCAATTATGATTTTGGTGAACTTGCTTTTTTTCAGCTTTACGGAACATGCGTGTTGCTGTAGGAAATCTGTTTATTGACACAGGTAGATGCAAATGATCTGTAGCTTTATGCAAGTAAACTGCTGAAGCTATACGCCAAGAATTCTTTTGTAATATTCCTGCATAGTAAGAACAGTCTTCAGTTCTCTTTATTCTTAGCATGCTGGTTTTGTCTTTGTTTCTTGCTCTGGAACTACAACATCTTAAGATACTGGAGTTTAAAATGACATTACTTTCTTTTGTATTGTTTGCTAGTTGTTTTGAAGTCCAACATCACACATGCTTTTATATCTAGAATTGAGGACTTTTATAGTCAGAAACTCAAGGTTATACTTTTTTCATTTCATTATATTTTCTTAAAATTAGTCTCTTGCTTCTTGCTGCAAGCATTTTTTTGCTTTTGATAGGAAGTAATTAAATTCAGCAACACTATTATGACTGTTTCAACTCACTTAGACACTTGTTCCTAGTGAAATGGCCTCTATGTGGAAGCAAAACTTCAAAATGTCACTGATTACAGTAGGAGGTTTGGAATGTGTTGCTATGATTACAGTGGCAGTTCAAGGAACTTTACTTCAACAGAAAGAAAATAAATGGCTTGTCTTCCATTAACTTCTAATTTTTCTACAGAATAGTAATCTGCAGGTTATCTTGGTATTAAAATGGCAAAAGAAATACAGCTTTCTAGGGTTCTGGTCTTACAAAGCATGTTTTTAACTTTACTGTTATGGTTTGAATGGCAGCACCCGTAGTGTTGATGACACATTTTCAGGACTGGGAACAGACAAAATTAATTAAGTTATGATGACATTTCTACTTGGAAATTGCATGAATAATCACTGCTTTTGTATTTTCCAGCACCCTATAAGTCGCTGGATAGCTCGTTACTTCCTTGACCCCCCTGAAAAGAACTATGAGAAACAGATGGCTCTGCTTGATGCTGAAGCGAAGAAAACTGAACTGAGGTATGTTACATAGTTGAATGTTTTAAAATGCTGATACATACTAGAGTTGATTGTTTTATTTTGGTTAACCTGCTGAGTTGGATGCTGACATAACATGCTTATTCATGTGTTACTCAACTCGGAGTGCTTGCTGTGCTGGCTGGTGATGAAGTGGAAGTTACAGTATCTGTAGTCCCTGCCTTCTCGGTATTAAGATTACCAGAACTGGAACGACCCAAGGGCAGTCTTGTAAAACAACAGTGTCTGTTCAAAACAGTTCATGTTTAGAAAGGTAGAGCTCTGTCTTCCTGAGTCAGGAAATGGACAGTTCTTTTTGCCTCTGCTAATGCTCATAGCTTAATTGAGTAGCTAAAAGACAGTTTACAGGACTGGTCATGTTCCTTGTTGCTGTTGAAAATGTTGTGGGCAGCAATGACATTGTTGTACTGAGTTTATTTTATACTTAATCAGAGTAAACTGTGGTGGTAGAAGAAAGTCTGAGTTCTACAAACTGTGACTACTGGGACCAAGACAGCATAGCTCCTTCTACCATCACATTTACTTCTGATTTTCTTGCTCCTATTTAATTTTAGTTGAAAGCTGTATCAAAACTGTCTAGCCCCTTACTAAGCAAGAACCTGTGACAGAAGTCCTGCAAGTATTTTATTACTCTTTTGTGAGATGACTTGCTGAAAAAAAGAAGGATGTAATAGCTCATGCTTTAGTTGAACCCTTCATATTTTCATGTTACCTATGTTTCAGTAGTATTTATAAATCATAGATGCTAAACTCAGTGCTGTTGTCAGTAACGTCCTGACGTTAAACACTGATATGTGTATGATCAAACCCAGTAAACTTCATGTCAGGTGTGTCTGTTGCTCTTTTCTTTAGGCTGATGGAGTTGGAGGCACGCAGACTGATGAGACACAGGGGAGATGGACCTTGGTATCATTATGAAACACCTGATAAAAATCTTATTGACAATTCTATGAAATCCACACCTGACAATTAAACAATTTTAAGACAGTATGCATGATCTTAAATGCATACTGACAAATTGTGACTGAGCTAGGTAATATACATCCTGCTGTTCGCTGATGGAAATGAATAAAAATAAACAATATTTGTGTTGATTCTGATAATTTGAAAGAAACTGTGTGGCAATTAAGCTTGTATAGCTGTTGAAGTTATTAATCAGAAAAAATGCCTTCTGTCAGTTGCCAACAATTACACCTTTTCTCCAGAACATCAGTGTAGAATGGGCTTTGTGACCTAATATACGTAAAACGAGTTGTTAATGTTAGTCTTCATTGTGTGATTTCTAGTATTTAAAGTTTTACATGAAAGGTACAAGAAACTGTAAGGTTTTTTTTCTTTCACAATGCCTTGTGTCAAATAATTTGTGGAAGATGAACTAAGAAAGAAAAATACCTTCAGATCTTTGGAATATTAGGATTATATCTGCCACTTTAGACAAATACATTCTTTCTCATTACTTGTACTCTAACTCATCTTTTCACTATTTTTTCCCCAACTTGCATATTTTTCAACATCTGCTATCATTTTCTCTGCATTATCTCAAAAGTTTCTCTCTTTAGATATCTGTTAATACCCTTCATCCCAGATAGTGTCAGCCATGCTGCTCTTCCTTTATTAGTTTTGTCACCAGTTTTACATTTTTTTCCTCTTGTGTATGCATAATTTATGCTTGGTGCTCTTTCATTTTCTCCAGTCTCACTTCCTATACAGTCTGTGTATGTAAAAGACTTCTTAAACAGACTCTTTAAAAAAAAAAAAAGCAAACAAAACAAAAAAAGCAATCCTCCAAAACACCCCCAAAGATGACTGACTTTGTGCATCTTTCTGAACTGGACAATTCTCTGTGTAGATCATGCAAAAAGTGTTCTCTCTGGAACATCTTTCTACATTGTTCTGGGGGTTTTTGGTTGGTTGGGGTTTTTCTAATAGTTTGTTTTTAAATGAGGTTTAAAAGCATAATGGGTGCTTTTGCTATGATATATGCTTCCTATTCTAAATGGCAATAGATGTAAACCAGAGCCACATACTCCCTTTGTGGCAGAAAGGAGCTTCATTGATGAAAACACAGTCAGTGCTCAGGAATATGTTAATATTTCACAAAACTCTTACTGAGGACTACCTACCATTGTCACGTAACTTTCATATTTTAAATATGTATCCATGCCAAGTAGTTGTGGGGAGGATAATCTTTAATTTTAACAAGGCTTTGGTTGTATTACCTCAGATACCTCTTGTATTTTCAGAAGACAGAGGTGCTTGCCTAGACCTCTGACTATCTACACTGTCAGATGTAGGAGTAGAAAGCAAAGGAAAGGTTCTTAAACATTAAAAAGTGTGTGGTGCATATAAATTCACATTTTAGTGACTTTTACAGGATTTTGTAAGCCTAAGTCTTTCATGTAGTCTTGAAAATACTCCCCAGTTCCTAGGCTGAAGTCTGTGCTCTGTCATGTAAAACTTCTCATGAGAAGGAAGACTCTCAGTGGACAAATATTAAACTATTTTCCTAGTAACTGCTGTATATCTAACATTTTCAGCAATGTATTCAAGTTATGGATAGTGTTGCTAGAGAGCTTTCTACTTCCTTTAACAGGCTTAGTAAGAAGAACAAGGGAAAAATAGGAAACTGCTTATTGAAGATTGTTATGAAAGGATTGCTAGGTGTCTGAAGAGCAAGAATCAAGCCAGGGAGAATGGTATAGGTTGGCATTAGTTAACAGGTTTTATGGATCATCTTGTCACCGCTGGGTGAACAGATACCATCTTCTGCTGTGCAATTACACAACTTTTCGTACATGAAAATGGAAGTCTTGACAGCAAAATCTGAAGGTGAAAACTTCAAATTTTATACTTCCAATGCACTTAGCGCAGAGAGGCCAGCCACATAAGTGATTTTGGGGATGGTAACGTCTTCCTGGTATCATTTAGGATTACTCAAAGGCTTCTTTTCCACAGTGAACTGGAATTAAAAAGTAAAGAAAAAGAATTTATATAAACAATGAAGTAAAAATTTGCCATCCAGCCATTATTGACCAAGAACAAGTTAAGAAATATGTAAGGCAAATAAGGTAAGTTGCACCTGAGGACATCCACTCACATATCTGCTGTGCAGAGGGTACTCTCTTTATCTGGCAGACTTTTGCCACTAGAGGGATGTGTTTCCTCAGGTTCTACTGGCCATGGCATTCCTCTGGTTTTAAATCCCTCAAGGGAGCGATGGAAAGTGCCTCTTACAGTTTGTGACCATAAACTATCTGTCCATACTCAAAACTCCCACTTTTTAAAGGCAATAAGCCCAAGTCCCTTAGTAACCCCGATCATCTTGTGGTTTCAAACTATCAAAACACATAAATTTATTTCTTCACAATAAGCAACATTGCATAAACTGCTTTAAGCAAAGGCTGCATCTGCTGTTTCCTAGCACTGCCAAACATTAGAAAGACTCTGATTGATTTTGTGTCAGTGCTTTGACTTGTCCTTTTAGTTTGAGTCAATCTTTCAGGTTAGATGGTTTGTATGTCATCTTATAGCTCTTATTGTTTATAAATGCTGAGTTAATCATAAGAGAAGCCATTAAAAAAGTACAAAGCCTTCTCAGGCAAAATACATTTGTCTAGTGGCCCTGTATTAACTTCTGTTTTTTATCCAGCATCCAACAATGCTCACAAGTCTTTGATGTAACATCTAGTCTTGAGTAAGTCTCAGGCCATTCCATTGACATCATAGTCTGCTCTCAGTATTTCACATTGTTCCCAGCACTTGATTTTTTGCTAGAAAAATTGCTGAGAACAGACTGCACTGGTCTGCTCACTCTCACAGCCTATTTCTTCATAGCTGGATACAAACTTATTTTTCAATTCTGTTGTTAATTGAGATTTTACTAGAACCACCATTGGAAACTTTGAGGTAAAAGGTGGCTCTAGCAAAAGTCACATCACCTGCATAATGTGGACTATAGGTGGAAGGCTATTCACCTACAATATACATTATCATTTTTAAATGGATCAGTCATTTTTTTAATCCTGCTGTTGTCAGGCATATGCAAGAGTTATTAGATATTGCTTGAAATAATATAATTCCAGTATTTTTTCCTACAAAGTTACTTCACTGTATTCCTCCTTCCCCTAACAGTATTCTTTCAAAGTGAAAATCAAAGAGAAACACCACAAACGCCAAAAAAAAAGGTCATTTTAAGCTAAAGGTACTGTCCCTCAGGACACCAAATCTGTGTGTGGCTACTGGCACTGCCGCAGACTTCCTGGGGCATCCTAGCCTGGGCATTCCCGCTGTCTCCCAGCGGCTCGTCCCTCCGTACCAGCGTGCGCTGCTTGTCCCGGCAGGTTACAAACCGCCAAAGCTGAGAATTAGTATATATATAGTATTTAATTGCTTAAAAAAAAATAGGGTATTACTACTCAAAGGGGAACCTGCTCTGAGCTACATGGGAGACCAAGAAAGGAAAGTCTCCATCTTCCTCTCATGGAAATCAAGGTTTTCTGGTAAAACGCGTGAACAAGGGTGCGCGGTCCCTCTCCGGCCCCGCC